TGGCCCCCCCCCCTGTATATGAAAGTTGCGGGCTTTACCTTTAAACTAGTGGTGTGTCACAAGGTTGTAGTTTGATTCACACTTCTTTTCATGATGTATACCATCCAACTGTCTCAAACTCTCAATACATGCCCCGACATCCATGTGCAGATTTAGGCGGATGGCATTAGAGGCAGTTGGCAAGATATTTTGTTAATTGGCCTAAAATGCTAGCAGGGGGAAAATGGCGAAAAAACGAAGTGAAACGGTCAAAAACCTGCGAAGAAAAACCTTCGTCCTTAATGACAATTTCGGACGAGTTTTCCGTAGACATCTTGCCAATAACCGCTACGGTGGGTACGGCTGCATGTACGTTCCCATATATCCATGCAGCACCGCAGCCGCTTCATACCAATCTCTTCGCTTCATATTTTACTTTGCAAATAAAGCAATACGAGCGTCAGGTACGGTCGTCCATTTGTGGGTGGGCGGGCGGTGGGCGCTCGGGTCGTAATGTTGTAGCTCGATATGGCCCTTCTAAGGGTGCCTCCCTCAGAAAAGGCGCTACGCAGCACCTGCTTAGGGTCGCGGAATCCTGTCCTGCCAGGCGGTATCAGTCCTACTCTTCTTAGAGATTTATCGTGCCAACTGCCTTTAAGGTAGACTGTGCATGTGACGATGAAGAAAGGGATGTCAGTGTGGGTTGCGCTTAGAAGATCACTTGAAAGAGTGAGTGAGTGGTCTGCATCCTCGGATATACACTGAACCTAAGCAAGTGTTTAGTTGTGGGGCAGCCCATTACATAGTAAATAGTGCCATACTCATGTTATTCTGCGGAAGATCTCGGAGTTATTTTCGACTCGAATCTGAATCTTTCTTATCAAATTGATTGCGTTGTTAAGAAGGCCTACTCTGTCTCGTTATAATGGGGAATATTTGGAGTTCTACTGCGTCAAAGTCGGAACCTACTAGAGTTTTAAGCACTTCCTTTCTGTGAGATGTGATTGCTATAACTCACCAGGAAAGGTCAACAGGTCAGCCTGGCCATTTGCAATGAGGTGCACACCATTGTACTCGTCTTGAGACGATGAACTCAAACTATCTTCAAAATTTGCAGAACGATTCTCTGAGGGAGATACGGGAGTTTTGCTACTGTTTTTTGTTCTTCAACCTGGCACCAAAGCGTTTTCACCTGTACGCAGCAATAGACAACGCCCTTCGCGCAGGATAGGTATCGTCATCATGTTTCGGATCAAATAACCCCTAGCGGTGGCACTTTAGCAAAATCTGAGATTTCGACTCAATTTCGGAAAACTGGGGTTGGATTAGTCATGGCTGAATAGTAGCCCACCACCGATGCTGTGACTGGCTTACCACTGAGCTGACCAGGAAAGGATGGATTGGTCAATGGTGGTTTGGCCATTTGAAAGGAGATGTACAGCCTCCGATAAGCCTTCGGACGCTGATTACAAATCTGCCTTCCATATCTGCTAAACGATTCTCTGAGCAAAGTTGTGCAGGTTTTTCGACCTGGTCACTCCATTCTCAAAATGCATGTAAGGCGCAAAAAAGTCCCCAGATTCGCTAAAATTTGAAAGTAGATGTGGTCTGGTGCTCTGGAATTGACAGTACGGTCGTTTTCCATCAAAATATCACGTTCGCATTCTGGCGTCATCATCTGTTTGAGCGACTTGGGCGCTAAAGAGGGGCAGGGTGTGCAGAAGCCGGCAGCGCTCATGGCAAGCGTTTTTGCGCCGAACCAGTGTGAGTCCGTGTTCTAGGGCTCATGTCAGCCATAGAGGCAAAATTTTTAGCGAAAGCTGAGATATTGACCATTCGAAACATTGGGGTAACCATGGTCACTAAATTCTTTGAGGTCTCTGGCCTCATTCCAGATAAATACGGAAGGACCATAGCTCCCCGCTTAATCTCAGTTTTGTAGGTTACTGACGGTCCTGATCCGAATACGACATTCATTTTTGGCCTCCATGCCATTTGGCATCATTTTGTGACATAACATTACGCAACCGAATGGTACTGCTGAAATCAACGATCGGGAGTGTCCTTCAGGAGCGCTCCTGGATGACTACATTCATTCAGAAACAACATTTGGCAAAATCAGTTCCCTTAGCCACGCGAAAGTGCTTTTAGGACTGCAGGCAAAACAGCTGTCTCACGAAAGAGTCTAACTCTGCGCACATGAAGCCGGTCATTATCCACTACGCCATCGGAGCACATACTCTGTAGGATCATCCATCATTCATCTACCGGTTGAACATTGGTGGTTCCGAGCATAACTCTGTTCGGAGAATCGTTTAGCAGATTTGGAGGGCAGATTTGAAATCAGTGTCCAAAGACGCATCAGCCGGTATACATCTCATTTCAAATGGCCACTTCGACCAACCATCCTTTCCGGGTGGGTAACCCTTTAGTTGTGTGTTTTGCAAACAACAATACCTTGTACAATACCGCCGTCATAATGTAATGTAGTGACCATGGGCGGTCGGTTGCTGCTGCTGAGCATATTCTGGCACAATGAATTTTTTCTGAATCCGCTGCGTCTGAACAACGTGGTGTTCTTATAATACTTCATTCTTGACGACAGCAGCTGATTCTTATCCATATTCTCCTGAGGATTTCGAGGAATTGTGTTCGGTACATTTAGACTGCGTAAATTGCCTGTCGTCGATACGATCAGCGATTTTGATAATGTCGCTAAATAGGACGCAGTCTCGTCAGTCTGCTGCTGTAAAAGTAGTTGCATCGAATAGTGTGTCCCACAGAAATGGAGGTCTCAACGATGACAGTTTCGGAAATTATTAGCGCTATGATCGAGCAGAGTGAGGAGCTCAAAGATCCCGTTATGGCGAAATACATCAATGCACTATAGTATCGAAGCTACCAGAAACAATAGCAGAGGCAGAAGGCGCTGAGAAGAGAGGGCGAAGCTTAGAAGTCTTTGGCATCAGAGGAATTGCTCCCCGAACCACTGCACTTGCGTCGAGAGCTTGAGGGGAAGTTGCGTTAGACCTCTGGATTGCTTGGGAGTCGAGTGTCGCCCAGTGGAGGTTTACCACATGAGGAAACCCGTCGCTGCACACTCACGGTTTGTAAAGCTCGTTCTCCCATCCACAGCCACTGGACCACCCGCCCGCTTTCAAATATCACCGTTTGCGTTGCGGTCCGGGGGAGGAGGGGTAAAAAGCATCTTCAACGGAAAAATTCAACTCCCGCGGAGCGCAAGCGCGAGTTTGAGTTGAGGCATTAGTGTAGGGCTCGCAATTAAGCAGGCAAGCAGCCGTGTCAAAGTAGTGATACCGTGGTAATTCAAGGCGGGTCGACGAGCTTCCTAAAACACGGGCTCGGGAACGCCAAACCCGTCACGGTCCACCACACGGTATTCAATAATTTCTTTGCGAGAACATTGAGCAGCAAAATACACCACTTACAACTATTCCTTGATACGTATGACCCAAACTTCGTCTGTGTTACCGAAACATGGCTGTCCTCAATAAAATATAACATTCTTGATCTTCTGGAAATTCGCCCTTGCAATATTTTAGCTTCGATCAAAGAGAGCGTAAAAAAAAAAAAAAAAAAAGGTCGTGGGTGTGTCCAACGCCATAGCTAGGAACTCATTCTTCCTAGTGCCTATTGCAACACACGCCTTCCTCAGCTCAGAAATGCTTTGCCTCGATGGTCTTGACGAGTCCTCTGCTGTTCAGAGTCGTGATTGTTTACCGGCTTCCAAATTCTTTCTCAGATGATAACGTCAAAATTATTATTGATACTCTGGTTGACTATTGTGTCCTGGATCAGCAGTGTTGTTTTAGCTTAACAATGATACATTAACAATGAACATTTATGTTGACCGGGGAGCGAGCAGAGCTAAAAACTCGATTTCCTCCAAGTTGTTGGAATTCTTTGGATGGTATGGGTTCATTCAATACGCCACTATGTCCATACGTTCACTCTAGACATCGTATTATCAAATGCTCCTATTGTTAAAACGTTTCGGTATTGCCGCCTTTTGCAGCTTCTGACCACAGTGTTATTACGTTTGAAATCATTTTTCCTTCATCCATGCCCCATAAGCTTCCATTGCCCAATTTCGCCAGAGCCGATTATTCCGGGTTATCCAAGTATTTCTACTCTGTGAACTGGTGGAACATTTTTGATGGGTACGCTTCCTGTGATGACATGTACAAGAGATTTTGCCGCACTGTCTACGCGGGTCTAGCTCGGTATGTACCCTTCGGTTTCATCGATGTGCCGCAAACGAAATATCCGAAACACATAAGTAATTTACTAGCCCAGAAATATAGAACCATATGTAAAGACAACGTTGTCCACTTGACCGCGTACAGCTTCAGCCTATCACCTTTTCATTTGCCAACCCTACTGCATATAATCAAATACAGTGTTCGGCAGAGGGTCGGCCCCAGCTATTTGAGGCTCTACTGAAGGGAGATTTTCCATCCACTACTGCCAAGCGCATGTCATTTACTACCATTATTGCGGTGAGCAGTTGCCACAACCAGGTAACCTCGACAGCCATCTGCATTGCCAAATTCTGTACTCTTCCTATACTATGTTTCAGTCAAAAAAAGCATGAGCCCATTACTGCAGCCCCTTTGCTGCTAGACCAGAAGTCTTCATTAGCAGCTGATGATCCGTCAAATGTGTAGAATGGCGACCACTGAGAAAATGGTTGAAATTTTCAACACCATATGCCTTTCCCGACGCTTCTTTTTCTAGATGGGCATGAGTGCTCCTGTTCCGCTAAGGAATGCGCGTAAGCAAACACTTTTTCAGTATCATCACAGTACCCATGTATAATACAGCACCCTGTAGTACAAATTACACAGTACCACATTCTGAAGCATTGACAGCTAATCCTGGATTATAATGCGCTAAGGTATCCGCCGCCGTTAGCTTTTCCGTATTTCGACGGGCATTCTCCTGTGCACCTCACTTCACAGCACATTTTTCCTCGAGGTTGTTAAAAGAAGATGCCAATGTCACCGATCTTGGGTAAATTCTTTGTAATATTGTATCATGCCTAGGTAAGATTCCAAGTCTTTCAAAATTCTAGGCTCTGGCATGTTTAATATTGCCTTCAGCTTATTTGGAGATGGTCTGATGCCCTTTCCATCGGCCTAAACTCCATCTTTCTATAAAAATTCTCACTTTTTTCCGAGCCGAAATCCAGCTCCAGCTAATCAAGGCTCAAGGCAGTCTTTCTGAGTGCATCTCATCATCTGGAACTGTCATCCAGATAGATCAGCACTCCCTCTATTCCCATCAGCGTCTCTTCCTTTAGTCGCATCAGGATTGCTGGTGCTGACACATTTAAAGGCATCCGTTACGCAAACGATCCAAACACTAACCTTAGAGTAATTCCCCAAACGTCTTCCAGCTCAACCTGCATAAATGCATCTGAGAGATCCACCTTTCAAATTTTTTTTCCGCGAAGTAGCATATGGAGCAAATCGTCTGCCTCATGCAAGGGGTACTGGTTGATATCTAATTGCAGGTCCACTCTGACCTAGTAATCGCCACAGTTTCTTATTTTATAACTTAGTTGGGCAGAGCTACTGATACTGTTGCCCATTTACTGTGCTTCACTCGTCTTATTGTTCCATTTCACATCATCTCTTCCAACTTCCTAGTTTGGGCCTCAGTGCACAGGCTGGCTTGGCTCTAGTACAACCTCCGCTTACCTCTATGCTCTTGAATCTGAGGTTTGCTCGTGCAGTTGTGCATTGTTCAAAAACTCTTTTTGTTGCACAATATTCGCAATCATTTACTTTTGTTTCCTATCTGGGGCATCTCTTTCACCTCATGAACATACCCATAATGTGTCTGCAATCTATACGCAGTTCCTAATTTCCTTGGAAGCTGGTTCGATTATTATCAGAAGCCCTGGCTGCTACCCCCGCTTTACTTCACTTCAAACCTCCGAGGTATTTTGTTCGATTGCCTTTAAGCTTATCCCGTGTTTGCGCGCAGCTGCCGGTTACGCGTTTTCACGTCGGCTAACCCTACGGCCTGAGACCTTCCTTCAGACGCTGGAGCGCTTGCTACAACACGCTCGAACGCTTGTGCTCGTTCCAGCGCTCCTTTTGACGTCAAGTCCTCCTTTTCTAACAATCGTTTCCTTATGTTCGCCGGAGTGGTCGTCCAATGAAGGTCATTGTGACCACCTCATTCCGACAGTTCTTTATGCCTTCAGTATTATACGTATTCGCTACTTTCTTCAGTCTTGTAGTAATCGTGCATAGCTTGTCTTTGCCTCTAGAGTTTTGACATTGAACCGAAGCCCCTTGCTAATACCAACTTTTCTGCTTGGCAATGGCGCCCCCACCCTGTCGAGATCCTCGAGCTCCACGTCTTCCGATTCGCGCCCCTGCAGTGGTGACTCCAGCAACTATATTTGAATTCCCTCTCCTGCAGGAAGATTAGTCTCTGATAACTTTCGTCTGTTACTTCCCTCAGTACGAAAAAGGCAAAAAAGTGGAGAACAGTTTCCACCAGGTTCTTCAGTAATATGTATATGGTCCTGGCCCCCGATCCCGGTACACCATAACAAGATCGGATCTACCGCCAAGGGTCAACTCAGTCACAGTGCCTCCACATTCAGCTTTCACTGTTGCCTGTTACGGCCTCACCGCATGTCCCTGTTCGGCTTCGCCCGCTTGTCGTTGTCGACCACGCAGGGAGTGAACCATGTATCACACCACAAAATCAAGTTTCTAACCCACAACTCATATCAGTCCTTTCGATCACCCATCGTCATTCTCTCCACTCTCACGTTGAACACCGCTCCCGTACGCCATCCACAGCCAGAATTTTTTGACTTCGCTGAGCGTCAAGTAAGGCATATCACTAAGTTGGATTTTATTTTGGGCCACAGCAGTTCATCAGATCAGGGATAAGCATATTGGAAATCGTCTGATGAGACTCAGTATTTGTGCGATGGTATCCCCCGTTGAACAACGTTGGCATTTTTTAAACAATCCGCTTTGTCTGCGGCAAAAGCAATCGCACAAGCGTTCACAAGTCCTGCGCCTTCTTTAATAGTTCCGATTATATAATATCAGGCGCTTTCTCACCGCAGTGGTTTCTTATGCGTGATGACGAGAAAATAACATTGTGAACATTTTTGTTCGAACAGAACGGAAGAATGGTGGTGAAGTCCGTTCCTCCAAGTGGTGCCACCGGGTACTGCCCGCTTTTGCGGGTTGCAGAACACGGACAAACTCGAGGCAGGTGACAGGCCTTCGTGACGGGCCGGCCTACGAACACCCCATGTCACATCACAATGTTTAACTATGCCACATGATTCACGAGATAATGCTACGGCGTCCGCGGGAGCCGACGCGCACTCGTATGGCCCGGCGAGTGTGGAAAGTATGCGAGGGTCCCTGATGCAAGGACGGCATCGGGGGGCAACCAGGCTA